TTGGCATATTGATAGTTTCTCTGGCAACCTTATGATTTCTTTAAATTACATGCTTGACTTCATAGTCATTCATTTGGGAAGAATATTACATATGTATTGGTGTTAAATTCTATCATTATGCTTATAAAAATATAATAAAAATAAGTATGGGGTATAATAATAATAGAAACAGAAAAATCTGATCTTAAAAATGTGAATTTTTTTAGTTGCTTTTGGATTTCAAATATAAGTATATTTTTTCTGTGGGAAGTTTTGTTAGAAAATGTAAGTGGTACAATCAACAATTATATGATATTTATCAATTAATAAAACCAAGGAGTTTATAAATCATGAAATTTTGAGGACAGTTTCTCAACTATAATATGTAACTTTGTTTTATTTATAATTGCATTATTTCAAAAATATTATAAGAAAATGAGAAAGAACATAATGTTTGAAGAACATACCAAACTAATGTATTTCAATTAGTCTGTGTTGCATAAATTCTTGTTTATTTCATATCCTTTTTTTTGCTTTCATATATATGTATATTTGAAATTTTTGTTTAGCATCTTCATTTCTTGTTATCATGTATGTTTTCCATCTTTAATAAAAAAAGAGTTTAAGACATTGTACTACAGTGATAAATGCATACCAGTGTTTATAGCAGCGCAACTCACAATAGCTAACTCCTGGATATAGCCTGTATACTCATCAATGGACAATTGGATAAAGAAAATGTGGTATCTATAAATAATGGAATACTACTCTGCTATAACGAATGACAGATTTGAGACATTTGTAGCAAAATGGATGCACCTGGAAATTATAATATAATGTTGAGTGAAATAAACCAGACACACAGGCTTAAATAAGGTATAGTATTTCTTATTTGAGCGAGGCAAAGTACAAAGAGAATAATGAAGGATGGATAAAAGGGGACTAGGAGATGGATCTCTTGCAATACGGAAGTGATCCAAGGGAAAAAGTGCGAGGGGTGAGGAGGAGGAAAAGGGGAAACAAGTAGAATAAAGATGTGCCATGTACAGGAGCCTAATAACTTCAATTAATGTAAATACATGCGATAACATGAGCTAAGATCAATATCAACAAGAATGAAAAATGGGATAGGGAAACTGAAGGAGGGAAGGACCGGGAGGGAGAGGTATTAAAAAAAAGAAACAAGCTGTGGTGTATGCATGTAACCACCCCCCAAACGTGTACTAATAAAATTTAAAAATTTAAAAAGAAAAGAAAAGGGAAATGTAGAAATATACCATATCTGAAGATAAAATAATGAAGGGCACTAATAAAGAAGTCTGAATAACTTAGAAGAAACTAAAAATTCTTTTGAAGAAGATATAAATTCTTTTGAGGGCACTATTATTACACTTGAATGAATAGAGAAACTCAAGTGTAGCTGGAGGGTCTTGGGTGCAGTGGACGGTGTAGGAATACAGCAGGCATTATCAAGAAATCACCTGAAGAAGCCGGGCGTGGTAGTGCATGCCTGTAATCCCAGCACTCGGGAGGCTGAGGCAGGAGGATCGCTGTGAGTTCAAAACCAGCCTGGGCTACAAAGTGAGTTCCAGGTCAGTCTCAACTACAGAGTGAGATCCTGTCTCAAAAAACCAAAATAAATAAATAAATAAA